ATATTTCTTCATTCAGTGCCTATTTTCCAAGGAATTCTGATTGGCCCTCACAGACTCTGCTGTATTCCTTTTCTTGTTTTTTTTTTTTTTTTTTTTTTTTTATAATGATGCACCTAGCCACTGGACATTCACCTAACATAGTAGTAAACCTGGATCACATCAACAGATTTTCTCTTACTCCTACAAACATAAACTAAGATGTATCTTGGAAAGAAAAAAATCATGCAATTAAAAAAAATGACTTAAATGTTTGGAAACCAGCGATCCAGTGTTCCCTTCTTTCCATCATTTTAAATTTTCAATAAAGGTAAAGTAACAGCTAGGAAGAACTGCAGCTAAATACTAAATTTTAATAAAATCATGCTTGCATTTCCTGAATTTTGGTATGGGCTCCACAAGACTAAGATGCATCACTGTGAAAGTCCAATAAACTTAGTTCTGTTATTTCATTCTTATTTTATACATCAAATGGCTGAGGTTTTCAGAGGTTAATGTCACAGAATCAATAACAGAAAATGTATATTTCCACATTGGTGAACCTGACTCCAGAATATGTTCTTTGAACCATGGAGTTGCATTTCGGTCAGTGTGCACCCAAGCTCAGAGTAGCTGTTTTTCAGTGGAGCCAGCACCTTCCCATAAAGTACTGCCTGCCACAGTACATTTGTATGTGGCACTCGGCTTTTGTAGGATCTGGCAATACTTTCTGGTGAAATACTGGGTATAACTCAGCTACTTTCATGCTTTGTTTTTTGTTTATTTATTTGATGATTTTTAAAGTAGCACAAATTTTAAATTTGAGAAATTCTGTAGTTTAAATTAATTTCACCTAAGGCTATGTCTTTTTCAGATTTTATTCATGTATGCTAACTGTATTTTCAGTATTTAACACAAGAAAGTAACCTTTAATTCAAAATATCATTTTCTCCTGGAGAAGCATAATTATTTCATAAGAAACCCTAAGGAATGCTGCATTATGTAACATAATTACCAAGTTTTACCATCTATTTGCTGGCTTCCTTAATTGCTCACACATTTCAACACTGAATCACATAAGTGAATATAGACTTGACTGTTTTGTAAAGAAAATATTTTATGTTTCATGTATTTTATGTTTTACATTGAAATGTATCTCCAAAATATTTTGTTTGCAAATTCATTATAAGATAAGCGAACGAAGCTTTAAGTATAATTGCAGGTATCCTAATACAAGATAAGATGAAACTACTGTGAAATTTAGACATAAAAATTTATGGTTTTTCTGCCACCTAGTGGTGGTAAGGTATATGATACATGCTATAAAAGTGCCGTCTGTTTCTATACAAATTGCAGTACTGGCATTTCATATGAAAATATCAAGCTATGCTACAAGTACAAAATTTCAATTATGAAATAGCAATAATTTTTTCTAGTCTGACAAGTTTGAGTTAGCTCCTACTGAAGACAGATGTGTCAACATACTGATGGTACATTATCAAAAAGTAAAACTTACTATTCCTACAGAAAAACCAAACGTGAAATTACAAAGTACTTAATGAAGTAATGAAGACAAGTTCACGATAACACATTTTGTGTATGGGATGGTAATTACTATAGCTTCCTAATTTTATCAGTCATTTTTATATGTATTCAATAAAAACTAACAAATGTCATTTGTCACCTAATCCTACAAAGCTTGCTTATGACCTTTATTTTTATTTTTTTTAGTACAGGGTCCACAGGGACTACAGGGTCTCACTATGTAGATCGGATTCATAGTGATCTGCCTGTGGTCAGCCTCCCAAGAGCTGGGTTTACAGGCGTGCGGGGGGGGGCACTTCAGGTCCAGGGATCGAACCCGAACCACTGCTTCTGCCTAACCAGGCCCTTTAGTCCACTGAGCTATTTGGCCGGCCCAACTTCTTCATGAGTCATAAGACTTGCGGCTTTCACAAGATCACGCAGCCTGGTGAGCACACTGGCTCAGAACTCAACATATTTCACAAATTAAAAATGCAAAAGTTTAATGCGTTTGTTCTTCTATCTTTATTTATTTATT